GTCTGTTGTGGGGAGGGGAAGGAGTTTATAGTGAAGGGCAGGGTATAAATCCAATCTCTTCTTCTTCTTTTACCTCACAGGGTGTCTGTTGTGGGGAGGGTAAGGGAAAGGAGTTTGTGAGCTGCTCTGAGACACCTTTGGGTAGTGAATGGAGGGGTATTAATCCAATATCATCATCTTCTTCTTTTACCTCACAGGGTGTCTGTTGTGGGGAGGGGAAGGGAAAGGCGTTTGTAAGCCGCTCTGAGACACCTGTGGGTAGTGAAGGGCGGGGTATAAATCCAATCTCCTCTTCTTTTTCTTCTTTAAAACGATACATTCATTTAAAAATGCATCCGGGATTCTACCTGATAGGTTGGAGGGTTACTGTTGGAGTGGCAGCCATTTTGTGACTGTCTCCGCCTCTTGCGGCAGCCATTTTGTGGCTGCCCCCATCGCTCTCTGTCAGGATCCCAAAGGTGCTCGCAGGCTCAAAAAGGCTTAGGGCCGGAAGGGATGTCACAGCATTTGTTGTGCTTCCGCACACCCCGGCCACAAAAAGCCACCAACCGTACCGGGAACATGCTGGACATATTTTGTGTTCCCTGCCTTCTCTCCTCCTGCTCCACCTCCTCGACTGTCAATACGCACGATTTGTCTCTCTTCTCTTGCTCTTGTTCTAAAACTGCTTTGCCAAGCAGTTGAAGTCCTAAGAATGCTCCTCTTTTGTCACGGTGTGTTCTGAGAAAAAAGGAACTGGCAGTTTATCATTTCTCAGCAAAATTGCTCCTGCAGCTCATTCGGATGATTTTATTTTGCGTGAGACAAATGTGTACTTGTTCTGGTTGGGGTTTCTTGCAGGGGGAGTTTTGCCAGTGCCGGTAAAGCAATGGGTCACGCGGTTCTCCTGTAAAGCCGTGGCTTCGTCACATGGAAGCAGGCCGTCCCCGAGTGGTTGTGAGATGTGTTCCCTCTAATCCGAGTCAGCGTGAGCTAGCTCACAGTTTTTTAGCCTCCGGCTCACAGATTTTTCTCTTCGCTCAGGAAGGGATGGCTCCAGAGCAGTGCTCCCTCTAAGCTGTGGAGTTTTGTGAACAAAAGTCCTACTTGGTGAGCTACTGGCGTTAAAGTCAGAAGTGAGCGATTTGGCTGCTGCATGAATCAGTTGGCTCTGGAGCCCTCCTTCCTGAGCGAGGACAAAAATGTGTGAGCCAGAGGCTAAAAAACTGTGAGCTAGCTCACACTAACTCAGCTCAGGGGGAACACTGCTCCTGAGTAAACTAATTTATGCAGCAGCCAAATCGCTCGCTCACGACTTTAATGCCAGTAGCTCACAAAGTCGGATTTTTGCTTACAAGACTACACGGCTTAGAGGGAGCCTTGGTTGTGAGGAGTCGGTTAGGGGAGCAGCTTCCTCTCCTGGCTAGGGCTGCCAACTTCCAGGTGGGGCCTGGAGAACTGGAATTACAACTGCTCCTCAGGCTACAGAGATCAGGTCCCCCAAAGAAAGTGGGCTGTTTTGGAGGGTGGACTCCGTGGCATTGGACCCTGATGAGGGCCCTCCCCTCCCCTCCCCTCCCCAAACCCTGCCCACCCAGGCTCCGCCCTCAAATCTCCAGGCATTTTCCAACCCTGTTCCCAGCCCGGCATCGGCCGTCGTGCCGAACGATCGACTGGCAGTGTTTAAAAGCAGTCACAGCAACTCCGCCTGGGACATGAAACTTCAGGGGCTTCCCAAAGAGAAAAGGAAAAACAGAGGAATATAGGACACGACATATTTTTTCTCCTCCCCATCTCCAAGGAGACAGTGGACAAAGTGGATGGTGCAATATTCTATCCTTGTAAAATAAAAAGAAAATAATGTGTTTTATAGGGGGAAATTTTAATTTTTTAAAGGCTAAGATTGCATCCTCAATCACGGTCTCCTTATGCTGAATTTTTACTTTAAGATCTTTCTTGCCAGAGTGCAGAATTATTGCGTTTATGCAGGGGTCATTTTCTGCAGGAGCGGAGCTCCGGCAGTAAAGAGCCTGGGGGCGGGCACATGCAACAAGCCCCACCCCCTGCTCCCAGGAGCCCTCAGTCACAGCAAGAAGCAGCCAGGTAAGTTGCAGAGCTCCCCCCGCGCGCCCCCCCCCCCGGTCCAAAACAGTCCAGTTGCACCTTTAAGACCAAGTTTTATTCAGGTACAAGCTCTCCCTCCTACCTCTGCGAGGACAGATCTGCCCGTACCCCCCCCCCCCGATAGCTAGCAGTCCAAAACAGTCCAGTGGACCCTGAGCGGTGGGTGTTGCCTTCTGACACACTTCCAGTGATGTCAGGGGGTGTGGCATATGCAAATAAATTACGCTAATGAGTTATGCTAATGCGCTCCTGCACCTCTTTTTCTACAAAATGACCCCTGCATTTATGTTCAAAGGTACTTTCCCCCCTGAAAATAAGATCATCTAAAGGGAGAAACAACAGGGGTTTATGGAATTATGCGTAGGGATGAGAAACTGGCTAATTTTCTCTGTCTCAAAATACTAGAGCATCAGGGCATCCAGGGGAATTAGTGGGCAGTAGATTTAAGAGAGAAAGCACCATCACAAAATTCATAACTGACTCAGAATTCCTCTGGGATCTCAGGCAGAGGGCTTTTACATCACTTACGACCTGATTCTTAACTGGAGTCTCGGACTTCCTGCACGTGAGGCAGATACTCTGCCACTGAGCCACAGCACCTCCCCTAGAGCTGAACGTACATGAAGTTGAGTCAGATCCTTATAGTCCAGCAAGGTCAGTATTGTCTACCCAGACTGGCAGCAGCTCTCCGGGGCCTCAGGCAGAGGTCTTTCCCATCACCCACTGCCTGGTCCTTTTTAACTGGAGATGCCAGGGACTGAACCTGGGACCCTCTGCATGCCAAGCAGAGGCTCTGCTACTGAGCTACAGTCCCTCTTTACAGCTCCCCAGGGTCTCAGGCAGAGGTCTTTCCCATCGCCCACTGCCTGGTTCTTTTTAACTGACGATGCCGGGGATTGAACCTGGGACCTTCTGTATGCCAAGCAGAGGCTCTGCCACTGAGCCACAGCCCCTCTTTACAGCTCCCCAGGGTCTCAGGCAGAGGTCTTTCCCATCACTCACTGCCTGGTCCTTTCTAACGAGATGCCGGGGATTGAACCTGGGACCTTCTGCATGCCAAGCGGAGCAGATGGTCTACTGCTAATCCACAGCCTGTTCCCTTTGGTCCCATCCAGCAAGGCTCTTCTGATTTTCCTTGAGGGCTTCCTGCTATTACAGGCCTTTTCTCACCGTTTCCCGAACTCCCAGAAAGTGCCATATAGTAGAGGTTTATTCTTACTGTAACAGCACAGTTTTCCAGTGACAAAAGGCTTTCCCTCCCTCACCAGCCCCAAGCATCTGTTCATTAACAGCTCCTGCTTTAATCTTGGGGGTAAATGTGAGGGGCATTCGCATGCAAATCAGTGTGCCCACCCGCCTGGCTGTACTGTTGGCGGGGCCCCAGGCCCAGTGGGCAGAGCAAAAAGCAGAGAGAAGCGATTCCCGCTTTCTGTCTCCGTTCAGAGCATGTGTTTTCTGGCAATATTTAAGCAAGTGTAACCCCAGGAGGGAGCTGCGGTGGCTCAAGTGGTTAAGACCTGGTATTTCTGGCCACTGTGTGACACAGAGTGTTGGACTGGATGGGCCACTGGCCTGATCCAACATGGCTTCTCTTATGTTCCTATGTGATGCTATGTATTCTTGGTGCTTGGGGGGGGTCGACAGTGGGAGGGCTTCTAACGTCCTGGCCCCACTGGTGGACCTCCTGATGGCACCTGGTATTTCTGGCCACTTTGTGACACAGAGTGTTGGATGGGATTGGCCTTTGGCCTGAACCAACACTGGCTTCTCTTATGTTTTTAGGGTTGCCAGGGGGATAGGGGTAGGGAAACTCCTTGCGATTTGGGGATGGCATCTGGGGAGGACAAGGGACTTCAGTGGGGCACAGCGCCCTAGAGTCACATGAACGTGTGAAGCTGCCTTATACTGAATCATATCATCAGACCATCAGGGTCAGTATTGTGTACTCAGACTGGCAGTGGCTCTCCAGGGTCTCAGGCTGAGGTCTTTCCCATCACCTACTGCCTGGTCCTTTTAACTGGAGATGCCAGGGATTGAACCTGGGACCTTCTGCATGCCAAGCAGAGGCTCTGCCACTGAGCTACAGCCCCACTTCATGGCTCTCCAGGGTCTCAGGCTGAGGTCTTTCCCATCACCTACTGCCTGGTCCTTTTAACTGGAGATGCCAGGGATTGAACCTGGGACCTTCTGCATGCCAAGCAGAGGCTCTGCCACTGAGCTACAGCCCCACTTCATGGCTCTCCAGGGTCTCAGGCTGAGGTCTTTCCCATCACCTACTGCCTGGTCCTTTTAACTGGAGATGCCAGGGATTGAACCTGGGACCTTCTGCATGCCAAGCAGAGGCTCTGCCACTGAGCTACAGCCCCACTTCATGGCTCTCCAGGGTCTCAGGCTGAGGTCTTTCCCATCACCTACTGCCTGGTCCTTTTAACTGGAGATGCCAGGGATTGAACCTGGGACCTTCTGCATGCCAAGCAGAGGCTCTGCCACTGAGCTACAGCCCCACTTCATGGCTCTCCAGGGTCTCAGGCTGAGGTCTTTCCCATCACCTACTGCCTGGTCCTTTTAACTGGAGATGCCAGGGATTGAACCTGGGACCTTCTGCATGCCAAGCAGAGGCTCTGCCACTGAGCTACAGCCCCACAGCATGGCTCTCCAGGGTCTCAGGCAGACGTCTTTCCCATCACCTCCTACCTGGTCCTTTTAACTGGAGATGCTGGGGATTGAACTTGGGACCTTCTGCACAACACCGAGCCACAGCCCTCCCCATGAAGTTGCCTTCTAGTGAATCAGACTCTCGGTCCATCATGGTCAATGCTGTCTACTCGGACTCGCAGCAGCTCTCCAGGATCTCAGGCTGAGGTCTTTCCCATCGCCTCCTGCATGGTCCTTTTAAGTGGAGATGCCGGGGATTGAACCTGGGACCTTCCGCATGCGAAACGGATGCTCGTCCACTGAGCCACAGCCCCGCCCATCCTCCAAAGCATCCATTTGATCTCTGTAGTCTTTGTGTTCTGAAGATGAGCTGGGGACGGCGGGATATAAATATGAAAAATAAATAAAAATAAATAAATAAATAAATTTCAGGGGATCCTCAGGTCCCACCTGGAGGGTGGCATCCCTACCAGGAGCTAGCAATCTTATTTGTGGAGTGGAAAGAGATCGCCATGATCTCTGAGGAAGAAGAGGAGATTGGATTTATACCCCGCCCTTCACTACCCAAAGGAGTCTCAGAGCGGCTTACAAACGCCTTTCCCTCCCCCTCCCCACAACAGACACCCTGTGAGGTAGATGGGGGGCTGAGAGAGCTCTTTCGAGGACTGCCCTTGAGAGAACAGCTCTGAGAGGACTTGTGACTGACCCAAGGTTACCCCAGCAGCCGCAAGTGGAGGAGTGGGGAATCAAACCCGGTTCTCCCAGATTAGAGTCGACGCTCCTAACCACTACAACAAACTGTCTCTGCTGCGCTTACCACAACCCCTTTGTCCTCATCGCAATTCCATCTGGCCTCATTTTTCACCCTGCTAAGATCCGGTCACCTCTTTGCCACAGGTGAAGAAACGGGGGGAGAAAAGACATTCCCCAGGTGTTGCGCAGCCCGTTCACATGGTTCTTCATTCCCAAGCCGATCGTGGTTCCCTCCCCAGCAGTGCCGCGCTGCGTGCGTGGTGGAGGAGGATGGCGCGTCGAAGGCCACAGTGTGCTGGTACTCACACAGCACTCGTGCGGGAGACAAATTGTTCTGTCACCAAGGCTCGGAATCTGTTGCTTCCCTCGCCGCTACCGAGAAGTACACAAACACTTCACGTAGTTATTAATTAGTTGCCTTTCAGAGCGTTAAAAATACCCGAACAAAACGTTTCCCCCTCTGTTCTAATCAAGCTGATTTACAATATGCATTGTACCTCTGAATCCTTGACAGGCACTCTTTACGACACCCCTCCCACCTTCTGATTGGGGTATAAAGACTCATATCTCCGTTCCTACTCGTATCTAACGAAGGGAGCTTTGACTCTTGGAAGCTTGTACCCCGAAAATCAGGTTGGTCTGTAAGGTGCCACTGGACTCAAAACAAACTTGAACAAAACAGTTAGCTAAGGGCTGTGTATCAGCGGTCTACTCAAAAGTTTTGATCTGCTGGGTAATTCCCATCATCCTTTAAGGGAGGCAAGAACTAGTTTTTTCTTCTTCCTGTCAGCACCTTGGGAGTCACTCGCCTCTCAGTTTCTATTCAACGGGACTATCTCTTCCTGTGCTATTCTGTCTCACTTATTTTTATTCGTTTTAATCCCTATTTGTCTCCGCTACCTTACCGGTCTAAATTTCATCTTTTCCTGCTACACTACTTATTCGTCCATTACGGAGAATAATCATGGCCTCACCCGCCATTTTTAGTGTAGTCTTGGACAATGAAGAAGGAAAATGTCCCCAATGGTGTTTTCGGACCAATCAGACAGTTTCCTCCCAGCAAAGAAGAAGAGAAGAACAAGAGATTGGATTTATACCCCGCCCTTCACTACCCAAGGGAGTCTCAGAGTGGCTTACAAACTCCTTTCCCTTCCCCTTCCCACAACAGAAAACCTGGGAGGTAAAAGAAGAAGAAGAAGAGATTGGATTTATACCCCGCCCCTCGCTACCCAAGGGAGTCTCAGAGCGGCTTACAAACTCCTTTCCCTTCCCCTCCCCACAACAGACACCCTGTGAGGTAGGTGGGGCTGAGAGAGCTCTGACAGAAACGGCTCTTGAGAGAAGAAGAGATTGCATTTATACCCAGCCCTTCACTTGGAGTCTCAGACCGGCTTACAAACTCCTTTCCCTTCCCCTCCCCACAACAGACACCCTGTGAGGTAGGTGGGGCTGAGAGAGCTCTGACAGAAACGGCTCTTGAGAGAAGAAGAGATTGCATTTATACCCAGCCCTTCACTTGGAGTCTCAGAGCGGCTTACAAACTCCTTTCCCTTCCCCTCCCCACAACAGACACCCTGTGAGGTAGGTGGGGCTGAGAGAGCTCTGACAGAAACGGCTCTTGAGAGAAGAAGAGATTGCATTTATACCCAGCCCTTCACTTGGAGTCTCAGAGCGGCTTACAAACTCCTTTCCCTTCCCCTCCCCACAACAGACACCCTGTGAGGTAGGCGGGCCTGAGAGAGCTCTGACAGAAACGGCTTCCTGACGGACTCTGTTCTGTGGATGTACCACTTTAGAGTTCTCTGGAAACCCAGGGTGTGCCACACTTTCTCCTTTGGGTGAGATGGATTTGGAAAGAAAGAAGGTAAACAGATTTCTTGTGACCCTGTGGAATTCGGTATTGACCATCGGGCAAAGATCAGGGTCGGTCCTCAAGACAACCTTTTCTTTATGAAAAATGCAAATTTCCGACTTGACCAAAAGTGCCCCCAACTCTGATGTTCTTCTGGCCGGGGTAACCGCTGTCAGAAATATGGTTCTTAGGAACTCAAGAGGTATTTCTCGGAGGGGCTTGAAGGGACCTTTGGTAAGAGCCCTAAGGACAGTGTTGAGCCTCTACATTGGGAACCTGTGGATCTGAGGGGTCTCTGAGGGGTGCCCCTTTCAGGAACTGGCGTATGTGTGGGTGATGAGTCCCTTGAACCATGGAAGGACCGAGGCTCGAGCTGAGATCTGTCTCTTGAGGGTGTCTGCCGTGAGGTCACAGGATATCCTGCCCTGAAGGAAGGCTAAAATCAATCTGATCTCATGCATCAGAGGTTTGATACTTTTCCTCCTAAACCACCTGATGATGGTCATCCATGGGGTGTTGTAAGTCCTAGTGGTCGAGTGCTTCCTTGAGGCTAGAATTGTATCCATTACCTGAGAGGGGTAATCTAGAAGAAGAAGAAGAAAGAGATTGGATCTATACCCCGCCCTTCACTTGGAGTCTCAGAGCGGCTTACAAACTCCTTTCCCTCCCCCTCCCCACGACAGACACCCTGCGAGGGAGGTGGGGCTGAGAGAGCTGTTTTGAGGACTGCCCTTTCAAGGACAGCTCTTGTCGGAATTACGGCTTGCCCAAGGTCATCCAGCAGCTGCGAGTGGAGGAGTGGGGAATCAAACCCGGTTCTCCCAGATTAGAGTCCACACACTTAACCACTGCACCGAACTTGTAGAGAGATTTTGTCCCTTTTAACTTCCAAGCGGTTAAATGATACCATTGTGATCAGGGGTGCCATATTGGGCACTGTTGCGGCATGTCCACTGACACCAGTAGTGTCAACAGTGGGGCTCTAGACATTTCCTGCAGCGTGGAAAGCCAAAAGCATCTGGTCCAGTGTTGGGGCCATGAGTATGATCTCAGCCTTCAGTTCCCAAATTCTTTTGACAAATCTGGGTACCACCAGTATAGGAGAGAATGTGAACAGTAGACCCTTGGGCCAGTCCACTGTCAAGGCATTCGTGCCTTCCGCCTGGGGGTGGAAGAACCTCATGTAGAACATGTTCAATTGACAGTTGGTTGGGGAGGTGAGCAGGTCCACCAGTGCCGTCCCGAAGTGAGCAACGATCAGTCGAAAAAGCTTCTTGGAAGAGCTTGAAGGCCTCCAACACAAGAGCCTACCCAGTCTCTAGGGGACTGGTTCCAACTGGGCTCATCGTTAGGAAGTCTCTCCTGGTGCTCGGATCCCACAGACACCAAGGAACAGAGATCCACCGTTTTCCGCAGGGGCCCCATTAGGGATGCTACCCGCCAGGTGGGATCCGGGGATCCTCCAGAATTACAGCTCACCTCTAGAGCTCAGTTTCCCCTGGAGTAAATGGCTGCTTTGGAGGGTGGGGTCTACGGCATTATGCCCCACTGAGGTCCCTGTCCTCCCCAGGCACCATCCCTTAACCTCCAGGAGTTCCCCAACCTGGATCTGGCAACTGACCCTCCCATCTCCCACCAGTGTCCAGGGGGTACCTGGCAACCCTAGGCCCTAGCAGTGTCAGCCTCAGAGTATGTAACCTGCCATAATTTCCTTCCTATGTTTCTGCTAGTCCAAAGAAGCCAGTGTGGCGTAGTGGTTAGAGCGTCGGACCAAGTTCTAGGTTACCCAGGTTCGAATCCCCACTCTGCCATGGAAACTCACTGGGTGACCTTGGGCCAGTCAGTCACACACTCTCTGCCTGAACGACCTCCGTCGTCGTGTGGATTAAAAACAGAGGAGAGAAGGGTGACGTAAGCCGCTCTGGGTCCCCGTTGGGGAGAAAGCTGGGACCGTAACCCAAGTGAAGAAAACAACAGTAAAATTGATGAATTCCTGTTCCTCAAAGACAAATAAGTACAGGAGCTCCCAGATAGTTCAGCCGTTTGAGTACTTTGCTTTGCTTGCAGCGAGCCGGTTTCCATGGCGACCGAGCCCTTGATGGAGCCGTAATACGCTGCACGCATCTTGTTTCTACCTCCTTTATTTGCCATTAATCAGGAACGCCGACTTTGCCAGGAAGGCCTCTCTTTTGTGAGTGCTTGAGCGGGTTTTCGTGGAATTTCATTATTATCTGTTAAGCTTTGTTTTTTTGCTCCCTGTGTTTTTTCCCCTCCTCCTCCTCCTCTCCAAGGTTCCCTGAGTAGGTTTCAGTGTTGTTGCTCAAGTGTTACGTGGCTTCCAGAACAGGGCACAGACTAATTGAAATTCCTTCCCTCTGTTCGCCTCGGTGGTGCTAAAGAGTTACTTAAGGATTCCGCAGGCGTTTCCCAAGAAAGCCAAGGAACTCTGAAAGCCGCGGGTTGTTGACGATTCTCTCTCGGCCTTGTAACTTAATCGCTGCTGGAGAGTTTTGTAACATAGCAGTGGATATGCCGTTCCGTCTCTTGGGAAGGCCTCTCAGTTCCCGTGTCAGGATAAAAACATACGCCAGCCCTACAAAGACACGCTCGTAGCCCCTGCGCATGTAATCATTTCACCTGCAGATCTATCCTCTGAATGTACGGACAACCCATTTGCACGTAACTCTTCCAGGGCAGTGTGTGGTAGTG